TTGGACCTGCTGCCTTGGCCTACCCCTGGGCTGCCCTCTTCAACCCCAGTACCCTTCTGGGCCTTTAACAAGGCCTGCAGCCTGGGGGAGTTTCCAGGCCGGAGCTCCCCAGCTCCTCTGGCCTTCCCCAGCCCTGCTCCACTCCAGGTACCGTGTGAGCTCCTAAGCAGCCAGGCCCTTCCCTCTCTACAGGCAGAGAGACTCTCTCGTCTAGCCTCTGACTCACAGCCCTTTTATAAGGGCTAGCTGAGGTCTGTTCTGGGCGTGGCCATAGTTGTGCCTGCTTTCCCCAGCCACAGCCCTCTCCAGGGCTGGTTTTAACCCCTCCGGGCAGGAGTAGGGTGACCACCCCGCTACAAGCAGGAATCCTCAGTCAGTAAGCAATCAGCCAAGAGTAAGGCTGCTCCGGCCATGCCTTCTCCCCAGAAGTGCCCCCTCTGCTGGGGGCTGGGAAAGGGACGGGTTAGCTCCCTGGAGCTCTCCCTTGCCCAGGGGGAATCCTGAGAGGGTCTGAGCTCAGGGTTGCCAGCTGCTTTGGCTACAGGAATGGCACCTGAGAAGTAGGCCCCTAGCCCAGTCGTGGCTCTCACTTCCCTTTGCGGTCTTCACTTTCTGCCCTGGTCTCTCTGAACTCCCCTGAGGCAGCTGGCGTTTGTTAACCCAGCAAGCCCTCCTGCAACCCATCCGCCCCCCAGCAAGCAGCTGTCCCAGCCCCCTGGGGCTGCTCTCTCTTGCCGCAGATGTAGCACTTTGTTATTGGAGACTTCTTTCATTTGAACTGCGAGTGACATCTAGTAGGTGAATTATGAGCCTATAAAACCTGGGAAGTTCTCTCTCCAGCTTGTCTTCATCTTCTACTCCAGGTCCCTGACAGAGACTGGAAGACTTCACTAGCATCCTTCTGGCTGGGAAGGCCTTAACGGGATTCCCCTTTGCAGCATACTGCCATGGGCAAGGTTGGTGCCAAGGACATTTAGGGATAAAAATCCCAAGTGAAGTTGTAACGAGAGGAGCATGCCGCAGAGACAGAGTCAGAAAATGGTGGATGTTGTGTTAAAATAGCTATAAATATTGGAGCAGTCCCTGGTCAATACGGACTGCATCCCTGCTAGGGCTGGCTGAAAATTTCCCATCAGAACTGGTTTTTGACAGAAGTTTTTCACAAAGAGTGTTTGCTTTCCATGGAAAACTTCGATTTTCTGTCAAAAACTGAGCACCTGAAAACTGAAATATTTCAACTGAAAACCAAAACGTTTCTGTTTGGATTTGCTGCCATAGTGCCTTATGGGAGTTGTAGTTCAATTGCCTCATGTCCCCCCTTCTCTTCCATGGACCAGGCTCCCAAGCTGGACTCCATCTCCCAGGATGCACCCCTGTCTCTCCTCAGGGGGAACCCTAGTCCGTCATGGGAATGAGTACATGACACACCAGGATTCCCAGACGGCATTTTGGCAACATATCCAAATGGAAATTTTGGGGGGTTGACCAAAGTATTCCACTTTTTGAATTTTTGCCAAAAAAAAAATTTTTTTT